AGATTCAAATGCAATAGGTCGACCCTCTTGCAAAAGAACAGCGCCAAGACCGTAGTCAGAAGCATCCGTTACAACGTCAGCTGTCGTTTGACAAAAGAGCTGAGCATCGACGATATGAGTGGATGGATTATCCACTATATCCCCGATACCCTGGCTCTGATTTGGAAGTTCCAAATTAACCTTTATTGAAATCTTCCTGACAACGTCAGCAAAACCAAAAGGCGGTACGGAGAGTGTCAATGTGCAGAGCATGTTACCCAGCCTGCACTGCGTAAACCCGCCTTCAGCATGTCCCCTTCAAAATAAACGTACCTTTTAACCCAATAAGTGGTTGCAGCAAACTTATGTCAGCAAAACAAAAAGGCAGCCTACGGCGAATGTCAGTGCTGAACATGGTGTTCAGCGCTGGGCTAAGGACGGAGCCCTTCGGTATATGGTTCCTCCTGAAATAAACTTATAAACCAACCCAGCTGATGACTCCAGCAAAAGTGCCACGGTGCGAGTGGATGACGTCATCGAAAGCCTGCATTAAGCCTTAGCTTTCGTTGGCGCCACTCACTCGTGGAAGGTTTGGTTCGAAATAAACTTACATTTCATAGACAGTTGCTGGCTGGCTTAAGCAAAACGGAGACCGTGACGTCACTCAATGCTTGCTTCTTAGCCAATGCCATGAGTGTCGCCACCGTCTTCGTGGTGTTTTCACACGAAATAGACTTATACTTCGTTCCTCCGACAATCAGTAAAAGTGCAGGACGGAGTTTCGAGAAGACGTGGCTTTCAAACCACACATCCACCGAACTCAGTCCTACGTCGAGGCTAATCAAAGTTAAAACTTATAACTTAAAATCGACGCTAGTACTTTTAGCTTATCTTAGACTGTGCTACAACAGCCATGCACCCCCTTTGACGAACGCACATGCGTACGGAACAAAAGATCTGGTTGTCCCGGGGTTCGAACCCAATAATCAAGGCCTGGATCCGAGTATCGTCTTACACCTCGGTGGTCCCACTTGTGGCACTCGAAGCCTGCCGCAATACTCTGCGCCACCTAGACCAGCCCGCGTACAGCTGAAGACGGTCGTTCAGGTCGGCTTACGAGCGTCAGCGCACGAGCGGGGTACTGATCGGATAATGTAAGCCGGAAGCCTGATAACCAACTAGGTCATCCGTAATTGACCAACACCCTGGTCGATACTCGAACTCCCTTAAAATCTGGTACTTAAGGATCGACAACTCCACCGTCGATTCTTTGACGGTTCCGTCTTGGTTCCGCTTACGTTCCGTTCCAAAAAGGAATCGGGCTCAGATTCACTTTTGTGATGCCGGTCTGACAACTTTGTCAATGCCCATGTCTTCTTCGCCCGTACTGCATTCGGGGTACTGAGACAAATATATAAAGACAGCATTCTGACTTTTGTGACACTGTGGGTCTAAGAACACAGTCGAGGGGCCCACCTGATCATGACACGTGGCAGATCAACGGTGGCAGGCAGCTCGTAGAAGGTCGGCGGAACGACAGACGCGGCCGCACGAACTTCGTAGTCACAGAGCTTGCAAAACTTTGAACAATAATTTTGTCAGAAAACAGTTGAGAGTTGGTTTACAAAAACTCTCAGGTCCTTCGCGCTCTCTTAGCAGCCTTACGAACTGACCTGGTGACAGCCTTCTGCTTTGGCCTCACAGCCTTAGAAGGCTTCACTTGAGTTTGGGCGGGCTCGGGTACACCTTTCCGAAACTTACCCACATAAACACAATACTCTTCGAAATTTCCTTACGGTTAGTAAGGTTCTTCTTTGGTTGCCATGTATTGTGCTCGGGCCCATACCCTAACCATTTGACCAGGAACTCTGTCTTGGTGCTTTTTCTGCGTTGAATCGTGCAGTTATCGAGTACTACTCTTTCGACCTCATACTCCAATAAGACATCGATTTCGATGGGTGGTGGAGGCGGCTGCACTCTGCCATCATTTCTATAGGGCTTCACAAGATTAACGTGAAACACGTTATGCATCTTGAGATTTGGCGGAAGCTTCAACTTATAAGCGACCTTGCCCACCGGTTCGATCACTTCGAACGGTTCTACCCACTTGGCCCAGAAGCTTGCGAGTCCCTGGATTCGCGAGAGCAAGTTTTGCGTCGAGAGGCGCACTTCCTCCCCCTTCGCGAAAGAGACGTCCCGTCTCTTCGCGATCAGCAAAAGACTTCATACGCGATTGTGCCGCCAAGATACTCTGTTTTGCACGCGCGAGACTCATATCCATCTGACGCACAAAGTAGTGGCCTGGGGACCCGAGTTTCCCTGCCCCCATCAAGAGGTGTACGTGGGTGCTGACCAGTGTTTAACATAAACAGGGTTTCCTTAACCGACTCTTGCCAAGCATTTTTCACACTAAACTCTGCAAGATACAGCCACTCATTCCAATCGTCCTGCTGAGGACTGACGCAAGTAATGCTTCAGGATACGATTAGCCCGCTCAGTTTGTCCATCAGTCTGAGGGTGGAACGCTGTGCTCATCTTTAACTGCGTACCGAGCAGTCTAGCTAGCTCAACCCAGAACTTGCTTGTAAACCTCGGATCTCTATTCGAAACAAGTTCTACAGGAAGTCCGTGAAGTCTGAACGCGTTATGCGCAAACAACTTCGCAACATCCTCAGCGGAGCA